ACAGTCAGACAGGCTGAGCAGCCCCGCACGGTGCATTTATAACCTCCCCTCTGGCCCTTATCAGCACACTGGGCCCTGCGCCCAGCCCCGGTGCTCAAAGGTCGCTGAGCACCAGCCAACGCGACAGGGGCTGCAGGAGACCACGGCGCCGGGGGGCTTGCAAGGAGTCCCCATCCTGCATCCCAGCGCCTGGGACCAGCACCATGGCTCCTGGCTTTCCATGCTGGCTGGGACGGTCCTGGGGCATCCTGTGCTGCTCTGGGATGCTGGACACCCCCATCATGTGTGGTGGGTTTAGGGGGAAAACCGCGGGTCGGGCCTGAGGCACAGTTACCCTCAAGCCAAGCAAACAGCCACGTGGTGCCTGTGACAACACTGCCAGTGACACAAGAAGGGACCTTTGGTCCCACTGTTGCTGTCAACTGCTGCTGCAGCCCCTTGGGCACGTGCAGAGAGAGGGGCAGCTGCACCTGGGGCCACTATCCCCCATGCCTGCGCCCACGGACACCTACTGTCCCTAGTGTGCCTGTCCCCAGGGCTGCCAAGACCCAAGCCTGCATGAGCCGCTGGGCTGGGCATGGGGTACTGCACCAGCACAAGGCTCTGGTTTGCAAGAACAAAAACAGAATCCCATGATTTTTTTTTAATAGATGTATCTTAAAAAGTGGGAGAAGCGCAGTGGGGGCTCGGCGAGGCAGTGGGGCACCCGGCAGGTGCTCAGAGCTCAGGGACCACCTTGCAGAGAAAGAAGTGTTGCTGGGAACAGTCGGTGCTAATCCAGTGGGTGAAGCCTGCGAGGAGAGAGGAGGTGGCGTCAGTGTGGCCAGGAGCTGGTGGCCACGGGGGCTGGGGGCTGCACTCACCGCCCACGTTGGGCAGTGCGGCGCAGGCGCCGCTGCCAGCACTGCGCCTGGGGATCCCGCTGGCCCCGCTGTACTCGGTCCCGTTCACCCAGCGCCAGCCTTCGCCCTGTACAGAGTTGGGGTCAGTGGGGTGGCCCCAGCACCTGCTCCTGGGTGCCCCGCAGCTGCTTCCTGCCCTACCTGGTACCCGAGGCGGAGACCGATCCACACAGGCTGGGTGCGCTGGTAGTAGGAGAGCACCTTCCTCATGGTGGCCGCCTCGCGGGGCTCCTGCACCCAGGCGAGGTGGGCGCCGGGCTGGCTGGCCTGGCACTGCGGCTGCGGGGACACAGCGGTGTCATGCCCCAGGGCCGGCATGGCAGCCCATCGTCATGCAGGGGGCTCCCCTGCC